GATCCTGATCTTTGATTGGTTGATAGACGTCGGAAAATCATGTGACAGTAAAATCGATCCTACGCCCTGGCGTTGTTATGCAGATCATATGATAAATGATCTACGTATACTCTACCCTTAAACCAATTTTATACGTAATTAAACTTACAATTTGACCGTTATAACGCTAAATACATAAATCTAAAATTTGGCCATCTCATTTATCGCTATATTAGTATCTGCGCGTTATTGTGAAGTACTTTCATGGCGTTATTTTGAAATAACAGTTCGATTTTCTAATCGTGAAATCTTCTCATTTGACGTAATAAGCAGAAGTTTCTGCAGTGATAATGAGCAAAATTTTTTTTTTTTATTATATTAGTCAGTCTTCACGATTGATTAATATAATAATCACACGATCACTATATCAAGATCACGGAAGGATCAATTAATAATACCCTGACCGTATGTGAATAGGCGGAAACTTCGTTTCCAACAGGATATTATTATTACTAAAATTGTCTGCACGTACGTAATAACCGTGAAAGAATCTTAAAAAAAAAAATACTGTATGAGCAGAATTATTATTTCAGGACGCGCATGGTTATTATTTCACAATTAAATAGAGGACTCGATTTTCGAAATAGCGTTCATGCTCGTTATTTCGAGAATTTACGGTAGTAATATGCTTAACATATAAGTTGCACTAACTGATTTTCATCGTTAGACCCTGAAATTAAACTTTGCATAATTTTACGTATACACTTATCTACTACAGATTTCATATCGGTTAATCTTTGGAATTACTATTTTGTAAATTAATCTGTTTAAAGTAATTTTGTTACCAAAAATATTTTCTTTAAAATAATTTAATGAATCCAAAATCATCCAAATTTGATGGGTTTGACATATGTCAAACCCATCAGTCTCATACGAAAGATGTGTCATTATTTGACAGTACTTTATCCTGGATCATAATCCTGTGATTCAATTTGGATCATAATCCTGTGATTCAATTTGGATCATAATCCTGTGATTCAATTTGGATCATAATCCTGTGATTCAATTTGGATCATAATCCTGTGATCCAATTTGGATGATTTTGGATTCATTAAAAAGCTATTTATAAAAGTTATTTAAGGTTAAAAGTTTTAAAAAAATTTTATTCAAACAGTAATTCCAAAAATCGGCCCATAGGTTTAGTTTATTGAATGCTTACTGGAGACAAAATTTACCGATGTTATTTTTCAAAGATTATCTATATATGGGAACCCTCACAGCAAAACAAGCCAGTGGGCGGTTTTAAAATTTGATCTTTAGTGATTAGAATTAAATAATTTTTATATCATTAGACTCATTTCAGTAAGATTTATTAGATCATGAGATATACTTATTTAAAGATCAAGTTTTAAAACTGCCCACTTCTTTTTTTTGCTGTGGGGTCCCCGTATATAAATTTACTGGATGTTATTTTTCAAGGATTATTATCTATATATATATATATATATATAGCATAACTAAATTTAAAATTAAGTTCAGTCCTAGATTGCTTAGAAATGTGTTCCGATTTTGCCTCAGGTGACAACTGAGTTTGTCCAGCATTAACTGATCGGTCTAAACTATAACGATAATAGTCTAATCCCCGATCTAAAGCACAACATATACATACATAATCATAATTGTTTGATATTGATAATCGCGGTTTTCGAAATGATTGAAAAATTGCAAGAAAGATTATTTGGGTGAAACTGCGAATACTCGAACACTTGAATACTTGATTACCTTAGCACATGGATTAAAGATTGATGCCCGATTTTACATACGATGTTATTTGTTTTAATTTAGGCAATCAACATCTGAGGTTCGTAAGCTGCAATCTGAGGCAAGCGTTAATCTGAGGCACAACATATACATACGTACGTATAAAATCGGGCATCGATCTTGCTAAAGCAATCGAGTATTCGAGTTTTCGAGTGTTCGAATATTCGCAGTATTACCCAAAAAATTTTATTTGCCATTTTCAACCATTTGACCGCGATAATTAGTAACGATTAGCTAAAAATATATTTATATTTTTTTTAGTTACCGTATTTTCGCTTAATAACGCCCATCTGCACGTTATTTTGAGTATATGCGCATTATTTAGAGTACGCGCATGGGCGTTATTTTGAAGCAAATATAAAATTTTTAAGCATCCCATTTTTATCTCTCATCGAGGAGGTGTTTGTGAAAGCAATGAAATACAATTATGGGATATTCTGTTTCTGCTGTTTCATGCAAATACCAAGCACAATGCAGAATTCGAGAGCATCGGTGAGTCTCTTTAGTTGTGAGGTTAACTAAATTCTGGTTGCCGTTTTAACAAGCCATCTTGAAAATTTTCCAATTTCTTACGCTCTAGCAATACCTACCCGATCGTAAAGCGAACAGTTAAATCCGAGCGTAAAGCAAACGAAATGCGATAGTTCTTATGACTGTCGTCCCGACAGGCCACCTACTAAAAACTATTATTTGGCTGTCGTCTAACAGGCCAACCTCACTAAAGCAATGACTGATTAATTCATTATGCTCTTTCTATCAAAGGCAATACCCACCCAAGCGTATGGCCACCTGTTAGAACTTTAAGATTCCGATCAAATCTTACTAAAAAAAACTCGCTCGTTAGGTCACTCAAGAGGTAGGGAAAGTGTGGGACGAAAAAACCAGACAATGTCGGGTTAGCAGAAAAAAACAGAAATTATCTTGTCTGAGGAAAAAATCTGTCTTTTTAAATATGCCTTAACGATTACAAATCAAAAAAAAAAAAACTACGTAATTACGTCGTTACTATAACTAACTCAAAGATCACCCGATCGAAAATACTACGCGATTACGTACTATATTGATAAACTCTAACGATTACTAATCGAAAAATACTACACGATTACAAATCGAAAAAACTATATGATTACTTTGCATAATCATTTTGCATAGTATGCCCCTGCTAATCAAGCAA